GAGAACACTGTCCCACCATCTCGTCCTCTGTCGTCCCCTTCTCCTTGTGCCCTCCATCTTTCCCAACATCAGGGTCTTTTCCAGGGAGTCTTCTCTTCTCATGAGGTGGCCAAAGTCTTGGAGTCTCAGCTTCACGATCTGTCCTTCCAGTGAGCACTCAGGGCTGATTTCCTTCAGAATGGAGAGGTTTGATCTGCTTGCAGTCCATGGGACTCTCAAGAGTCTCCACCAGCACCAGAATTCAAAAGCATCAATTCTTCGGCGATCAGCCTTCTTGATGGTCCAGCTCTCACTTCCATACATCACTACTGGGAAAACCATGGCTTTAACTATACGGACCTTTGTTGGCAAGGTGATGTCTCTGCTTTTTAAGACGCTGTCTAGGTTTGTCATTGCTTTTCTCCCAAGAAGCAGGCGTCTTTTAATTTCCTGGCTGCTGTCACCATCTGCAGTGATCATGGAGCCCAAGAAAGTAAAATCTCTCACTGCCTTATGCTGTCTATCAACCCTCTAATTACGGTAAATGTCTTTGGGTTGAAGTCAGCATTAAAGATGAGAGAGCCTCCGGCACCTAGAATAGAAATCTGAGGAGTGGGAGAAAGCTCTCCTATGCATTGCTCTTAGTTTGCAGCCTTTGGTCATGCTGTCGTGTGACCAAGAGACCCTGCCTCTTAATCTTAACTATGGCTTGCTTGATAGCAGCCAGTTTCATTCATAAACTATAGTTTGCAGTTGACTTTTCTCAAGTAACCGCAGTCTGTTGGGTTTGGACGAATGCCAGAGTGGGGTTAATTAAAAAATTCAAGTGGCAGTTTTCAAACTTCCCCAGAGAAGCTTGAGCTCCTTTGTAGCTCCTCGATTTTGGTGATATTTATTTTCAGCGCTGTGTGTTTTTCTAAAAAGGTATGGCTGTCTTCTTTCCGTTATGAGGAGTTCTTGCAGGCACAACTGACAAATGGATAGCGGAAAGTCGCTTTTACTTATCTTTCTCTGTCTCTTTACTGTTCTTACTCGTATCTCTTTGCTTATTTGCTATCTCCTTCATTTTCTTTCTTTCTTATTTCTTGTTCTGTTTCTGTTTTTTGTTGTTGTTGTTGTTGTTGTTGTTGAAAAGTTTTAATAAAACTATATTTGAAGAAGAAGAAGAAGCTAATTTGGCCTGATTGGATAGATTTTAACACTTGCTGGATCTAGGGATTAATTAGAGTCTGGCACCCACAAACTTATAACTCTGTACACACATCACAAGAAGAGAAAGCACAATGTCCTTTTCCACCATCACAGGCCAACTCGTCAATTTTTAGCTTGTGAGATACCTTAGTTTTATTTCTAAAGTTGAGCTTCTGGAACCTCCTTTCTTAAGCCTTTTCAGGGGGCTATTCAGTTTGCTTCCCGCTCCCTCCCCTCAGCTGCATCTAAGGCCAGTTGTGATCTTTCTTAAGCTATCGTCGCAGCTGCTCTTCGGCTGCATTCGTAGAATCGTGGAATTGGACGGGACCCGAGGGTCATCCAGCCCAACCCCCTGCAATGCGGGAATCGCAACTGAAGAATCCACCCTCTGTTTTAAAATCTCCAAGAAAGGAGAGCCTGCCACCTTCTGATCACCTTTCGTTTGCTTCAACACAACAAGCAGTCCGCGCAACTCGAAAGCTCACATGCTTCTCCACCATTTTAACAGAGAGAGAAAAATATCTCTGATATCAGGGCTTGCCCACCTATTTTGGTATAGCTTTAACGATTAAATCAAATGCCAACAACTGGAAATGCAATGGGTGATAAAAGCCTGTCCTCAAGCACTCAGTCACTCACACGCATGCAGACAGAAACAACCAGCCCGTTTCTCTGTTTCTCTCCTGCTGCTCATCCTTCCCTTCTCGAACCTGCTGCCCTGCAGGTATTTTGGACTAGTCTCATGACAGAGTCCCTTCCCTGCGTGCAACAGTTTCCCATGTTCCTAGAGGGTGGAGCACAAAGTCTGCATGCAGAATCATAGAATCGTAGAGTTGGGAGGGTTCCCGGGGGTCATCTAGTCCAACCCCAGCAATGCAAAGCCCCGGGTTCAATTCCTTGTGCCTCCGAATCCTCATGGGCTGTGCTCAGCTAGATAGATGATTAGTCTGAGTCGGTACACCACAAAGCAGCTCTCCGAGGACTGAGAGTATAAATGGATGGGTGTAATAGGAGTAGTGAGCCTGAGTATGCTCACTGTGTTGTTTAGATGTGACTCTTCTTCTCTCACAGGAAGAAAAGAAGTTCTGTGCATCTGTGGCCAAAGTCAGCTGTGTGCAGCTCCGACTGGCAGGAACCCAATAATGTCACTAACCCACCTCCCAATGTTTCTGAAAACTGATTCTGCTTTTGGAAAAAGAAAGGAGAGGAACAAATGTAAATTTAATTCAGTAATGTGTGCGCGGCATTTTACTAATAAAAAGGGCAGACAGTCTGCCTGGAGCATGGAGGGGCGGAGGCCAGGAGCAGGGCTGATGACTGATTCATCCTATCTGTCAAACGCATTGGGAAGGCTGGGGCTTTATCCTGCCCTGAACACATTCTGGGTTAGCCCTGCAGGGGCAAAATCATTCAGTGGAGGACAAGAAGGATGGGGGCTGGAGCTTGTTCTACAGCAGAGCTGAATAATATTTATGGTCTCTAACCAGCTTGTATAACCTAGGCAGCATCTTAAAAAGCAGAGACATCACCTTACCAACAAAGGTCCGTATAGTTAAAGCCATGGTTTTCCCAGTAGTGATGTATGGAAGTGAGAGCTGGACCATAAAGAAGGCTGATCACCAAAGAATGGATGCTTTTGAATTATGGTGCTGGAGGAGACTCTTGAGAGACTAATGGACTGCAAGAAGATCCAACCTATCCATTCTAAAGGAAATCAGCCCTGAGTGCTCACTGGAAGGACAGATCCTGAAGCTGAAGCTCTAATACTTTGGCCACCTCATGAGAAGAGAAGACTCCCTGGAAAAGACCCTGATGCTGGGAAAGATGGAGGGCACAAGGAGAAGGGGACGACGGAGGGTGAGATGGTTGGACAGTGTTCTCGAAGCTACGAACATGAGTTTGAACAAACTGCGGGAGGCAGTGGAAGACAAGGAGTGCCTGGCGTGCTCTGGTCCAGGGGGTCACGAAGAGTCGGACACGACTAAACAACAACAACAAACTATCTTGTATAATGCAAATTAATTAATGTATATGCACGATTGATTAGCAAGGGGGTGGGGAAATCTTCGTCCTTTATCACCTAGCATTATTCCATACAAAATTGCAGGGCTGTGTCCTGTACAAGCTGCAACTGAGAAATTTTGCCGCTCGCTGCGTGTTTATCCCTTGGCTCTGGGACTCGGGCCGTTTGCAGAGAAGGAGCTTCATCCAGCACCGTGATGGATTACAGGGTCCTTTGGACTGGCTGAGGGCGGCTTTTGCAGGCATGCGTTGCCTAGTCGTCTTCCCTTTGGGTTCTGAGGGGCTTATTGACGGCGTCGCTCATGTTCAGACAAACTACTTGCGCATTCATCTCTTTGTGATCGCTGACTGTATTGTTTGCTGTAATTATGCTTCAAACTGTTCAGCTTAAGCATTTGCAAATTTTATTCCGGTTAAGCCCCATAGGATCCCCACAGACAGAGGCTTCACTAGCAGTTTGCCAACTTAGACAGGTGCAGAAGAGGATTAGATGAATCCGTGGAGGAGTAGGCTCTCAATGGCTGCTAGGCTATGGATTTCGCCATGAGAGATAGTGGGAATCACAGGTGGAGAATGTGCCGTCGCACTTAAGGTCCTGCTTGTGGGAATACCAAAGGCATCTAGCTGGCCACCGTTGAGAACAGGTAAAGAATCATAGAGTCGGAAGGGACACCAAGGGTCATCTAGTCCAACCCCCTGCAATGCAGAAATCTCAGTTGAAGCATCCATGACAAATTACCATCCAACCTCTTCTTAAAAACCACCATGGAAGGAAAATCCACCTCCTCCGAGGGAGACTGTTTCACTGTAAAACAGCTTTTGCCATCAGAAACTTTCCCCGTATGTTCAGTTGGTGAAGTGTAGGTGGGTTCCTACAATGCAAGCAATAACAGCAAGAACCTATATTGAACTACATAACTGGGAAACAGGGGCAAAGCGACTGCTTATATACATTCCTGGAAGCCTGGGCCACTCCCACTCCCAACGCGATTGGCTGTCTAAACTTCCAAGCTGCGAATCACGACTCAAGAGTTCAAGGGCCAATGGCAGAGGCCCAAATCCTGAAATGTTTTGTGATTGGACATCATGTATCGAATCAGAACACAGGAGCTCAGAATCCTTAGTCCAGACTCAAACTCAGTCAAACAAAGGCCACTGAATACGCAACAGTTGGGATCTCCTTTCTTCTAACTTGAAGCCATGGGTTCGAGTCCTACCCTCCAGAGCAGGGGAAACAAGCATGCTCCATCTTCCCTGTGATAGCCCTTGAGATATTTGAAGGGGGCTGTCTTATTTCCTGTCAGCCTCCTCTTTTGCAGGGATGCGGGTGGCGCTTTGGGTTAAACCACAGAGCCTAGGGCTTGCCAGTCAGAAGGTCGGTGGTTCGAATCCCCACGACGGGGTGAACTCCCATTGCTCGGTCCCTGCTCCTGCCAACCTAGCAGTTCGAAAACACGTCAAAGTGCAAGTAGATAAGTAGGTACCACTCCGGCGGGAAGGTAAACGGTGTTTCCGTGCGCTGCTGTGGTTCGCCAGAAGCGGCTTAGTCCTGCTGGCCACATGACCCGGAAGCTGTACGCCGGCTCCCTTGGCCAATAAAGCGAGATGAGCGCCGCAACCCCACCCAGAGTTGGTCACGACTGGACCTAATGGTCAGGGGTTCCTTTACCTTTACTTTACTCCTCTTTTGCAGGTTAAGCATAGCCAACTGACTCAACTGTTCCTCATAAGGAGGCAGGATCAGAATGGTCTTTGGCCTGAACCATCAGCCAGGTTCTTCTTAACTCCTCTTCTCTCTCTTTTTCCAGCTCGGCGCCATGTATCCCTCTGTCAACTGCTCCCACTTGGAATTAAAACTGTCCATCCTGGAGCTGCTGGAGAAGGCAGCCTACAAGGACCTCTGCAACGACAGCAGCCGAGAAGAGCCTTACTTTGACCCCGAAGACCTGAACATGACCATAGAGGAGCTCCGCCTGAAGTACTTGGGGCCTCGCCGGTCGGGGTTCTTCGTCCCCATCTGCACCACGTACCTCCTGATTTTCGTGGTGGGCGCCGTGGGCAACGCCCTGACCTGCCTGGTCATCATCCAGCACCGGTTCATGAGGACACCCACCAACTATTACCTCTTCAGCCTGGCCGTCTCCGACCTGCTGGTCCTCCTTCTGGGCATGCCGTTGGAGATCTACGAGATGTGGAGCAACTACCCGTTCCTTCTGGGCGCAGGCGGCTGCTGCTTTAAGACGCTGCTCTTCGAGGCCGTCTGCTTCGCCTCCATCCTCAACGTGACGGCCCTCAGCGTGGAGCGCTACATCGCCGTGGTGCACCCTCTCAAGGCCAAGTACGTGGTGACCAAGAACCACGCCAAGAGGGTCATCGTCACTGTCTGGGTCCTGTCCATCATCTGCTCCATCCCCAACACCAGCCTCCACGGAATCCAGACCCTCCACGTCCCCGCCCGGGGGGTGGTCCCCGACTCGGCCACCTGCACCCTGGTCAAGTCCCGCTTGATGTACAACCTCATCATCCAGGTGACCACCATCATCTTCTTCTTCGTCCCCATGGGCGTCATCAGTGTCTTGTACCTGCTCATTGGCCTACAGCTCAGGAAGGAGAAGATGCTGGAAGCTCTGGAGGCCAAGTCGGCCAGCAACTGCGACTACCACAACATCCGCCTCCAGCAGAAGAAAGTCCGCAGGAGGCAGGTGACCAACATGCTGTGTGAGTCGAGGGGAGCCCAGGAGCTGCGTGGGATTGTGGGGGAAATATTGTGTGTGTGGGGGGGGGTTACTTGTTTTCTTCTTATTCTCAGAACTAGGGCTACAGTCTTTGCCTTTGTGTTGCCCATTCATTTCTTTCACCAGTGAATGTGGTGTCAGAAAAGGCATATACAGTGGTACCTTGGGTTGCATACTCTTCAGGTTACATACACTTCAGGTTAAAGACTCCTCTAACCCAGAAATAGTACCTCGGGTTAAGAACTTTGCTTCAGGATGAGAACAGAAATTGTGCTCTGGCAGCACAGCAGCAGCAGGAGGCCCCATTAGCTAAAGTGGTGCTTCAGGTTAAGAACAGTTTCAGGTTAAGAAGGGACCTCCAGAACAAATTAAGTACTTAACCTGAGGTACCACTGTATTATCTTTAGCTGTCATACTGCAATGAGTTGGTTATGTACCTTCTCTGTACAGCGGTACCATGGTTCTCAAATAATAATAATAATAATAATAATAATAATAATAATAATAATAATAATAAAATTATTTATACCCCGCCCTCCCTAGCCAAGACCGGGCTCAGGGCGGCTAGCAACCAATAATATAAACAAGTTGATTGAAATATAACTTTAAAAACAAGATTAAAATACAACATTAAAACAATTAAAACATTAAAATGCAGCCTTAATCCGTTCCAGAATTCTGTTCCAAAACCAAAGCGTTCCAAAACCAAGGCGCGCTTTCCCTTAGAAAGTAATGCAAAATGGATTAATCCATTCCAGACTTTTAGAAACAACCCCTAAAACAGCAATTTAACATGGATTTTACTATCTAACGAGACCATTGATCCATAAAATGAAAGCAATAATCAATGTACTGCACTGTAAAATAAATAAGGCAGTATTGTAGATGATAAAAAATTAAAATTATTTTTTTTTCTTGCCTGCACTGATGATAGTCATTGTTTGGATGGGGTTTTTTTAATCCATTTCCACAGTCACACAATCAATCAGTAGCCAAACTGGGTTCCACACAGTCAGGAAAACAAATTAACCGAAAAAGCCTCAAAAACAAATAGCAAAACAAACGGCAAAAACAAAAGTGACAAACGAGGTCCGTTTGACTTGTGAAATGTTTGAAAACCAAGGCGCAGCTTCTGATTGGTGCAGGCGCCCTGGAAACAATAGCTGACAACTGCATTGGTCGTTTGGCTTCAGAAAAATGTTCAAAAACTGGAACACTTAGTTCCGGGTTTTCGGCGTTTGAGAACCAAGGCATTTTGAGTACCAAGGCATTTGAGAATCGGCACAATATTATGGAAGACTGGGAGAAGTTGTGGAAAAAAAGCAATTAAATTAACAGCATGTAGTGTATTAAGAGAAAATTTGATGAAAATGATGTATAGATGGTACTTAACACCAGTGAAGCAGCAAAAATGTATCATATTCATGATAACAAATGCTGGAAATGTAAGGGGGGGGAGGAACCTTTTACCACATGTGGTGGACGTGCCCCAAGATAAAAGACTTCTGGGAAAGGATTTATAATGAACTGAAAAAAGTGTTGAAAAACACATTCATTAAGGCGTTTGAGAACCAAGGTACCACTATATTTCAGCTAAAACACACCATTTGTAAATGTGTGCGCACACACAAACACATGCATGCGTGGTGCTGGAACTCACCATGAATGCCACCCTTGTTCTCTTAAAGCAGCAATGGCACCTACCTGAGAAGGGTCGGACAGTGGCGGAGTTTCATGCTCTGGCACTGGGGGGTGGAGAGCAGGCGGGGGCGGGGCTGGAGTGCATCCCGGGGGCATGGCGCACTGCCCATAGGGGTGTGGCACGCACCCTGGGTGTGCATTGCGCCTCCTGAGGGGGCATGGCGTCCAGTGCGGGGGGGCAGCAGCAATGGCACCCCACTGGGATTGCACTGCCGGGGGCGGTGCGCTCCCCCCGCACTCTTCTTCCTCTGCCAGTGGGGTCAGAACTGAGTTCCAGCTGAAAAAAAGCCCTGGGTGTTAGAAACCAAACTTTCTTCAATTTTTGGACTTCCTCACATCTCTCGTTCCTTGTGTTCCCAATTATAAATTTTTAAGCAGCAAATTATCACCTTGTTTCAAATCTAATTTTGTATTTTCCCAATATTATGTCTCTAACTTTGCATATATTTTATCAACAACATAAGTTCTTAAATTTAGACACAATATTAATCCAGAGTTTATCTTTTTTCTCAAATTTTCCATATTCTCATTGTCCTTTCATACAGTTTGCTAGTGCCATGTTATTTTCAGTCCTGCATCCTTCTTAGCACTCATACAGTTTACAATGTTTTTGTAGATAGTCCTTAAATTTCTTCCAATCCTCTTCCATAACTTCTTCTCCCAGGTCTCGGATTCTGCCAGTCATTTCTGCCAGCTCCATGTAGTCTATCAGTTGCATCTGCCATTCTTCCAGCGTGGGTAAATCTTGGGTCTTCCAATGTTTTGCGATAAGTATCCTTGCTGCTGTTGTTGCAAGGTCCGTAGTTTAAATTAAACATTAATTTCAGCATAGGCGAAACAGGGGGGGTTGTGGGGAGGACAAGATGGCAGGGGACTTTCTGTAGGAAAGCTGGCGAGAAACCTGGATTTAAGACAGAATACTTTCCTTCTTCCCCCACCTCACCTCACCTCCATTGCTTTTGGGGGGAGGTGGAGAGCTTTTCCTGTTCATTTCCCCCCTGGTTGCTGATCAGCATAGAGAATTCTCTGCGTCTCTCTGATTTTGTCATTAAATTTCCCCCTGTCGCAGCGGAGGCTAGCACCCCTTGGAGCAACGCAATTCCAGCCCAATCCAAACGAATAAACAGATTCTAGTTTAAAATTATATACGCCAGAATATTCCCCGGTGTGAGGGAAGGTTGTTCCAATTCCTCCTTAGCTAAATACACAGTAAAGGTATACCAATCCTCTGTAAATGTGCCCTTTCGCTTCAAACCCCTCACAAGCTTTAATTTGTTAGGTTTCCTGCCACAGCTAACTGCCATGCTCTCTTACGCCACGTTCCTTCCAGAACTTTCCAGTACTTTGCTACTACCACCAAGGGGCCTTTGGTTCCTAACCGCCATTTCCTCGATTTCCCACAGGCGAAGGCTCTCGATGGCTATTAGCCATGATGGCGATGCTCCGCAGGGAAAGAGCGGTCTAATAGTAATAGTAATAGTAATAATAATAATTAATAATAATTTATTATTTATACCCCGCCCATCTGGCTGGGTTTCCCCAGTCACTCTGCACGGCTTCCAACAGATCACTAAAATACAGTAACCTATTAAACATTAAAAGCTTCCCTAAACAGGGCTGCCTTAAGATGTCTTCTAAAAGATTAGTAGTTGTTGCTCTCTTTGATATCTGGTGGGAGGGTGTTCCACAGGGCGGGTGCCACCACCGAGAAGGTCCTCTGCTTGGTTCCCTTTAACTTGGCTTCTTGTAGCGAGGGAACTGCCAGAAGGCCCTCGGCGCTGGACCTCAGTGTCCGGGCAAAATGATGGAGGTGGAGATGTTCCTTCAGGTCTACTGGACCGAGGCTGTTTAGGGCTTTAAAGGTCAACACCAAAACTTTGAATTGTGCTCGGAAACGTACTGGGAGCCAATGTAGGTCTTTCAAGACCGGAGTTATGTGGTCTCAGCGGCCGCTCCCAGTCACCAGTCTAGCTGCCGCATTCTGGATTAGTTGTAGTTTCCGGGTCACCTTCAAAGGTAGCCCCACATAGAGAGCATTGCAGTAGTCCAAGCGGGAGATAACAAGAGCATGCACCACTCTGGGGAGACAGTCTGTGGGCAGGGAGGGTCTCATCCTGTGTACCAGATGGAGCTGATAAACAGCTGCCCTGGACACAGAATTGACCTGCGCCTCCATGGACAGCTGTGAGTCCAAAATGACTCCCAGGCTGTGATCCTGGTCCTTCAGGGGCACAGTTGCCCCATTCAGGACTAGGGAGTCTTCCACACCCACCCGCCTCCTGTCCCCTAAAAACAGTACTTCTGTCTTGTCAGGATTCAACCTCAATCTGTTAGACACCATCCATCCTCCAGCCGCCTCCAGACACTCACACTGGACCTTCACCGCCTTCACTGGTTCTGATTTGAAAGAGAGGTAGAGCTGGGTATCATCTGTATATTGATGGACACCCAGCCCAAACCCCCTGATGATCTCTCCCAGCGGCTGCATGTAGATGTTGAAAAACATGGGGGAGAGGTCTTGTGTTCGAATCCCGCTTGCGGGTTTCTCACAGGAGGCACCCAGTCGGCCACCGCGAGAACAGATGTTCTCCTCTCTCACAATCTTCTCTCTGCCCCTCAGTCGCGCTGGTGGTCGTCTTTGGGATCTGCTGGGCTCCCTTCCACACCGACCGCCTGGTCTGGAGCTTCGTGACCCACTGGACCGACCGGATGCTGGGGATGTTCCAGTATGTGCACATCATCTCGGGCGTCTTCTTCTACCTGAGCTCGGCCGCCAACCCCATCCTCTACAACCTGATGTCCACCCGCTTCCGGGAGATGTTTAAGGACGTGATGTGCCGCCGGCGCTTCCAGAAGCTGGGCTCGCGCAAGCACTCGCCCAGCAGCACTCGCGTCACCATGCGCAGCACCGTCTCCGAGCACGTCGGCGGAGGCGACGGGCAGCCGCTGTCCGACCTGGAGGACTACGAGGCCGACCCGGAGAGGGATGAGGCGGAGGAGTGCGAGGGCCCTTTCCTCTGAAGAGGAAGCCACAAGTCCAGCCGCACATGTCTTAGGAGGACGGAACTTTCCGCTTGTGCCGCGAGGCACCGCCGGCGCTTGGCGGCGTTGTGTAAAATAATGTGTTGGGGTGGGGGCCTGGTCCTGCCTGGACTCGCCTCCGTTCCCGGCTGCTTCGCCCTCAGGAACTCAACCGTGTTATGAACAGAGGGCTTTCTTTTGTAAAGGGGCGCACATGAATGTCTTTCTCGGCCCCTTGTTGTAAAAACATCACCATCACAAAGGGTGTGTGGATGTGAGTGCAAAGGGGACCCTCGTTTCTGGGTTCCCTAATTCGGCTTACGCTTTTCAAAATGGCCGCTTCTGACTCTGCCTTCAAAATGGCGGCCGCAAAGAGGGCGGGGCATGAGGCTGCTCCCAAATCCATGCGCGGCGAGGCGCATGGCGGGAGGTTCTAGAAAGTTCCGTGGGATTTCCACACCCTTTCCCCTTTCCGATTTCGGATTCAATCTAAAAGAGATTAGGGGAGGGGACTTCGCCCTTGGCGGTTCATGTCCCTCTCATTGTCCCTGTTTTTCTAACTGTGGTTGCCCCGCGGCTGCCGTGTGCTTGGTTTGAACCTATTTATTTATTTATTTTGTTGTAGTGATATTCCCAATTTTTTTCTCCAAAGGCAGCATGCGTGGTTCTCCCCCTTCCCTCCTGGTTTATCCCCTGCACAAAACCCCTGCGAGGTAGGCCAGGCTGAGGGGTGGTGAGGAAAGAAGACACTGGATGCTGTATCCATCCTTCATCCCTTTCAGAAAATCACCCAGTGAGCCTCACGGAGGAGTAGGGACTTGAACCCTCGTCTCCAGATTCATGCATGTGTGTGTTGCATTGCTGCTGCTCTACATTTGCATAACTGTACGTTTATTTATTTATTTTTCTAGGCTTCGGCACCCTGCCTTTCCCTCAAGATGTTTCACGTGGTTTAACCCAAAAGAAAGTATTTTTCAGTTTTAAAGAAAGTAAGCATAACTCAGGGTTGCCATACGTCCGGAGTTTCCCAGACATAGCCAGCAATCGGCCGTCGGAAACAGAGTCAGGGCAGAAATCGCTTTAAACTTCTGGGGAAATCCAAATGTATGGCAACCCGTGTCGGCACTGCCGTCGTTGGCGATTTCCTTCAAAAACAGCTCAAAAACTGTGTGTGTTTTTTTCGAGATTTTGCAAGAAGCAAAAAAACTCAGCAACTTTGGGCAAAACTAAAAAAAAAAAAGCCCAACATTTGATTTCCACTTTTTGAAATATGGCAAATAACTCTAGAAGAGAAAGGCCAAAATCTCATCCAGTCTAGGAGCTCCAAAATTAAGTGTCCAAGAAGGACCTGAATGCATATATATTTTGTATTTTTTTTATCAGCCAGGTTTTTTTTTAATCATCAAAGGCAAATGCGGTGCTAGGGGCATAACTGAGGTGGGAAAGATTATGTGTGGGGGGGGGGGCTTGGAGAAGATGGATATTGATATTTTTTTTCTCTGTGTCTCACCATACGAGAACTCAGGGGCAATGAATGTTGGACGATTGGGGGCAGGCAAAAGAAATTTGTCACGCAGTGCATAGTTTAACTGTGGAACTCCCTGCCACCAGGATGGAGCAATGGCCACCAAGTAGAATGAGGACTGGGACACATCCAGGAAGGATAAAGGCCGTCAGTGGCTACTAGCAGTCAGGAGGTCCCTGACTTCCAGGTTCTGGGAGTCATAGGTTGAGGCTGGGGTCTTCTGGTGCCACTTGTGGGCTTCTCAGAGCTATTTTGGCTGGCCACTGTGATCGTAAGAAGGTAAGAGATTTAGTGCGGTGCAGGAGGTTCCCCCGCAGGGCACTGAGCTGAGAGGGTGCAAAATCGAGAAGATCCATAATTAAATTTAAATTTTTTTTAAAAAAAAACCCTTTTTATTAAATTTTCCACTTTAACAATCCAATCACATCACATTAAATATTCCAAATTATACATATACATATCAAATAATCCGAATATTCTGCCAGATTATAAATAGGACTTCCCATGCTTCAAGTTCGGAGGGTTCTGATCATCTCATATCGCTACTGCTTTTCACAGTCACTTCCAATGGTTCCTCTAATTCTATTAACCTTCCTTCTTTCACGGCCTCTGAGTTGTTCCCACAAGCGAGTTAAAACATTTTTTATTTCACTAGCCAAAGACCATGGCAACATCCCAAGAAGAGGGGAGAAAACAAAACAAAACAAAACAAAACAAAACAAAACAAAACAAAACAGCAGTCTTTACATATGCAGTAAAACCATGGTCAGATCCGCCAAAATTCCTTCTTACACAGAATAAAAAGTAATTCTCAAATAAAATGTGCAAATTAGATTGAGTATATCCATTTGGGAGTGCCCAATTTTGGCCTCGCAAGGGATACTGAGGCGTTCTCAAAGTAAAGGAAGGATTAAACTCTGATTAATAAGAATACACACAGAGGCGTGAACCAGCAAGACTCTGGGAAGAGTGCGTATAATAATCTCTCTCTGTGTGCCTCCAGCCCCTGGCCCAGGTCGTTTTATTCACAAAAGAACTTTTTACAGAGTGTTTGTAAGAACCAATCAGATTTCTTCTGAGCATTTCAACAAACCCCACGTGGGGGAAAGTTAAACTACAAGCACTGGTTAGGCATGCATACTTTTGGTAAACTATCAATACACATGATAAGAAGGATGGCTAGGAGGACAGCGATCATTATCACCTTTATGTGAAACCTGTTTCCTGGCCCTAAGATTAACATATCAGAAAAGCTACATCAAAGAAACCTGCCCACTATCTTTATGGCCCAGGACGCATGCATGGCAAAGCAACTGGGCTGTGTACGTGACTTTTCAAGTAAGAGAACTGGGCAGTAGAGGAAATGGCCAGAGATGCAGAGGGTGGTGGGATTTGATCAGAAATTATTGTCTATGTATCAAACCCAGTCAACACAATGCATTCATCGTGGACACAATGGCTTGATGCATATTTTATAATTCCTCATAGTAATCCCACCTGACCTCACACTCTGGATACCGTGGTGCCTCGCAAGACGAAATTAATTCGTTCCGCGAGTTTTTTCGTCTAGCGAATTTTTCGTCTTGCGAAGCACGGTTTCCCATAGGAATGCATTGAAAATCAATTAATGCGTTCCTATGGTCAAAAAAAGTCCAAACAAAGCCAAATTTGGTACAACAAGAGTTTATTAAGTGCTCTTTAAAGTCACACATACTGTAAAGAGCATTTCAAAATTCAAACCCAGAATTTTTTTTAAAAAAACAGCAGAGTGGCCCAATGGTCACAGAAAATCATAAAAATGCAGAAAAAAACACACAAGCTTCCAGATTCTTGCAAACCCCTCCCCAACTGTTCCCCCAGCCACCCACCACACAGAAATTCAAACCCAGAATTTTTTTCGTCTTGCGAAGCAAGCCCATAGGGAAATTCGTCTTGCGAAGCAGCTCGAAAAACGGAAAACCCTTTCGTCTAGCGAGTTTTTCGTCTTGCGAGGCATTCGTCTTGCGAGGTACCACTGTATTTGCACTTCTACAGGATACCACGTTATGAAAGATTCCCGAAGTCCACCCCTGGTCAAGCCAAGGGCCCATTTTGTCCAGCATCCGGTTCTCACAGGGGCTGACCAGATTCAATCAGGATTCGAACTCAAGACCCCTCTCCCCTTCTGCAGTTTCCAGCAACTGGTATTCAGAAGGACTGCTGCCTCCAACTGGCTAGCATTCATTGGTAGCCCTTTCTGACAATTTTTGGTCATCAAAGAGTCCGGCTGCTGGAAAACCAGGCTTTATTTCTGCCAGTTGAATCTGAACCTTACTTTCTTGTGGATAAAACCCTACAGCTGTTTCTCTTTTATTTGGAAGAAACAGAGTTGGATACAAAGCGATTTCAGGGTCAGGCGATTCCGTAAATATTAAAGAGCGTTCTCTAAAGCCAGCTGGGTCATTCACAGAAATCTTATTTTTCCCTTCAGGCAAATATTTATTTCAAAAAGTGTGTTTGGCATTTATATTTATAACTGCGTTGAGAAGACTTGACTGGCAAGTCTGCAGGCCACAGAATTTTTATTGCTGCCTCTTTTCTTTGTCAAAAAAAAAGAGAGAAATAAATAGATTTGCTGCAATACTTATTACCCTGCCAGCAGGGAATGTTCTGGTTTCATCTAAATACGTAAAAATAACACCAGCAGTTCTGCCCATCATTCTACATCTAAGTGAAAGAGGTCTCTGGGGGTATTACTTATTCCTGATTCTTTATTACTGTTGAGAATAGATATTTAAAACTCCCCCCCCCTTCTTAAAAACCCTAAAACTAACAGCATTTGTAAGTGGGAATATAGTTTTGAAAGCAAAGAAAGAACTAAGAATAATGGCCAAGGAGAGGATCAGCCCACAAAAAACATATATAAGACTGTTTTATTCAGAAGCATGTTTGAGACTGGACTTACATGTACAGCAGAATTAAGTGGAAATGGGGCAAAATGATCGCACCAAACAGTGGCAAATTCAGGTTATTTGGGAGGTTGTGCATAACGAGCCAACTTTCCCAAAAGATCAGACTCTTTGCAACAAGGAAAGCTAGAGGAAAATGCACTGGAAAGTGTGGAACATCACTCACTTTGACACGACTGCGGGAGGTTGGACTAGATGACCCTTGGGGTCCCTTCCAATGGTAGGTTGATTCTATGACGACATCTAACCTCCATGTAAGTACTTCTGTCTGTCACCTGCAGGCCAGTCTTGGTTCCTCGTGGGGTTCAAACTGGCCTGTGAGGCCATTTCCCCAAAATGACACCAGCCCCTCCATCAGCTGATGTCACTGTGTGATGTCATACGTGGGTGGATGATGTCACTGGGTGATGTCAAAAGAGGGTGGAGGAGCGATTGTGACTTTTACCTTTGTCCAGTAAAAGCCGGGCGTCTCTGCTTACAGCCATCTCTGTTGTGAAATTCTGCTCAATATGATCCAGAGGATAGTTAGCAGTGTAAAAGCTTAAAACACGTTGCAGGATTCCCAAAAAATAGACCAGAGGCAATTGATACTTCATCCAGCAGAGCTTTGCTGCTACTGAAGGCAAATGAGCATGTTGTTGTTGTTGTTTAGTCGTTTAGTTGAGTCCGCCTCTTCGTGACCCCCTGGACCAGAGCACGCCAGGCCCTCCTGTCTTCCACTGCCTCCCGCAGTTTGGTCAAACTCATGTTGGTAGCTTCGAGAACACTGTCCAACCATCTCGTCCTCTGTCGTCCCCTTCTCCTTGTGCCCTCCATCTTTCCCAACATCAGGGTCTTTTCCAGGGAGTCTTCTCTTCTCATGAGGTGGCCAAAGTCTTGGAGCCTCAGCTTCAGGATCTGTCCTTCCAGTGAGCACTCAGGGCTGATTTCCTTCTGAATGGATAGGGTTGATCTTCTTGCAGTCCATGGGACTCTCAAGAGTCTCCTCCAGCACCATAATTCAAAAGCATCCATTCTTTGGTGATCAGCCTTCTTTATGGTCCAGCTCTCACTTCCATACATCACTACTGGGGAAACCATAAAGGTCACAAATCCAGTACATTCAGGATTGGCCCTGTCCATAAGAAATCCAGTTGCAGCAGACTTAGCTTAAATTTACAATAACTTATAATAAGATTAAACCTTAACGCTAAGCATACTGTGTACCGAACACCACACCAGAAGGAAGAGAGATAGAAAAAGAAAGTGAAAATCCAGGCTCCTTCTGGCCTTACTTTTATAGTCAGCATGACCTTGACAGAAGAGATAACAACCATTTTAAGCCAGCTGTACGCAGCTTCTCTGAAGGAATGACTCCTTCGGAGCTCCTGCCTGTTTCACACAGAGAAGCTTCCAGAACCCTCTTGAATTAATAAGAATAGGAAAGATCTCTACACATCAGATCAATACTTTCTGAAATGCAAACTTGACTATCTCATCCTGGAACCATGGAATTGCAGGCTGTCCAACATTCCTCTGATGAAAATAGGGGCATTCTATTCTCTGTCAGTATCACTGCTTGAGCATTTCCTCCTGGTCAAGTACAAAGTTATTAGAGGAAACACGCAAAAAAAATTTAAGCACAGAAATCTTTTAAATTTATGAATTGCATTTAGAGAAGCCGGGGGGAGGGGGGGAGAAAACCCCAAATCAATAAATACAACTAACTAGCAGCAATACTGATTATTAGCCATCAGTTATTTTCATGTTTCTACGTTTACAAGTTTTAATGCATTTTAAACCTTCTGTTGGAAGCCGCCCAGAGTGGCTGGGGAAACCCAGCCAGATGGTCGGGGTAGAAATAATAGTAGTAGTAGTAATAATAATAATAATAATAATAATAATAATTACAAGCCAGTCTGCCAAACCCCTTTGCATACAGATGCAAACAGAGCCCAGCAGGGACTAGGCATGGCTAGGGATATTGTCACTTTAAAGGGCTCTTAAAGAAACACACACACACACCCCTGTGCCAGACTTTGTTCCATGGTAACTAATGGCCAATGCCTTCTGTGTTGCCCATATTTTATAGACAGTCCCTTAGCCCCTGCCCCTTGGTGAACTGTGAACCATTCGCAGAAAACACCATATGCAGATGTCTTTGTTGGAGCAACTGAAGGGATGCTCAGAGTTACCGTATTTTTCCCTCTATAACACGCAGGTGTTTTCTCCTAAAAAGGAAGGGGAAATGTCTGTGCGTGTTATAGAGCGAATGTGTGGTCCCTGGAGCCGAAAAATCAGCCAAAAATCAAATCGCGAGTCACGGAGAAGGGAAACCTGAAAAGAGGAAGCGGCTGCCTTTCCTGCATTCTGCCTCAGGGTCTTACTGCCCACCCTCCTCTGTTTCGTTGCTGTGTTTGCTGAAACGGAACAAAGAGCAGGGAAAGCCCTCCCCTCCAGGCAAGCAGAGGGGAAAGCAGAGTGTCTCCTTCTAATTCCTCTCTGTGCTCCGGTGCTGCTGGGGGAGAGGGAGAGAGAGGGGGGAGGGAGAGAGAGAGGGGGGAGGGGGAGAGAGGGGGGAGGGAGGGAGGGAGAGAGAGAGATGGCTGGCTTGGGTGGGGGAAACTTTTGCCTTTCTTTCCTCCCTCCCCTTAAATCCCTCTCCTGCATTCTTAGCCAGCTGCTTCTCTGCACACCCCTCTCATGTCCCTTCTTTGTTTTTCCTTCGCTCCCCACTTAAAATGTGGTTACAAAGCATAGATCCACATGGATCCTCAGGATCTTTGCATTGGGTCACCCCAAATTCACC